TGTAAAGTTCGGGTTTGTACCGAACATTACGTTTTTTGGACCCCAGACCCGAACACGGACATATCAGTGTATGTTCGGGTTGGAGTTCGATGATTTAATGGTGCGTTTGGAAAGGCTGCAGGGCAGCCAGTCAACAAGCTTTTGACTCGTGTGCCCTTAGAAGCCATCACAGCCATGCCTACTAATGGCATGGCTGTGATTGGCCAGTGCAGCATGTGACCCAGCCTCTATATAAGCTGGTTACTTAGTATTATTAAATTGTGTCGCGAGTGGGGGCCCTAAATAACAATAAGGGGGGAACCTAATGTCCTCCCCCCTGGCCCCCATCCCTGAGCAGTGGGTGGGGGCCATAAATAAAAATTGGGGGGCCTAATGTCATCCCCCCTAGCCCCCAGGGGGCCATAAATAAAAATTGGGGGGGGAACCTCAGGGGTGGGGGCCCTAAATAAAAATGTAACCCCCAGGTGACTAGGGGTCCCCAAACCCATAGTCACCCCCCTACCCCCAAAAAAATATTCCCTACCTACCCCCCTCATCCTAAAAATAAAGAGTGTTGTTATGAGTCAAATTACACAGCGTGGGAAAATTCCAAAGAACTATCCCATGCTGTGTAAAATGACACAGAGAACTCTGATTGGTGGATTTCAAGCCAACCTATCAGAGTGCTGTGACAGGTAAATGTAGAGACTTACCTGTCAGTCTCTTCATTTACCTGTCAGAGCACTCTGATTGGATGGCTTAAAGCCACCAATCAGAGTGCTCTGAGCCTAATTGCAGGGCGGGGCAAGTCTTTATAAACCCCTAGTCACCTGGAGTGGGTTACATTTTTATTTAGGGCTCCCACCCGCCGCTTAAGGGTGGGGCCCGGGGGGAGGACATTAGGTCCGTCCCCGCCCCCAATTTTTATTTATGGCCCCCACCCACCGCTCAGTGGTGGCGGCAAGGGGGGAGGACATTAGGTTCCCCCCCAATTTTTATTTATGGCCCCCACCCACTGCTCAGTGGGTGGGGGCCGGGGGGGAGGACAGTAGGTCACCCCTTATTGTTATTTAGGGCCCCCTCCCGCCGCTCAGCGGTGGGGGCCGGGGAAGAGGACAGTAGGTCCCCCCCTCCACATTCTTATTTAGGGCTCCACCCGTCGCATAGGTTTTTTTTTTACAGTGAGCAGCCTGCGGTAAGTCTCCCCTTTGTTTCTGCTGGGGGAGCAGGAGAGCGGTGCACAGTAAGCACAGCCTGCTTCCTGCTCCCTCCAGCTTGTGTCCGCTGTTTAGAGGCAGGGGGATTCTCCTTTTGCAGGATCCATCTACTCAGGCGCTGGGCTCTCACTAACATCGAGGAAGCCCAGCGAGCAGTAACTTCACTTTCAATTGGGGGGCACAGCCTGATCTAGGGAGGTCATGGCCCCATCTGGCCCACTCCTAGTGACGCAACTGCCAGTGCAACATAGAATGCCCTGCGGACTGCGCCCCCTATACGTACCCTCCACAGCGATTCTGTACGTGAGACTGCCCTTTGGCCATATGATCATGATGACATCGTGATCACATGACTTAGATCAGCAGTGTACTGAACTGCCTGGGATGTCCAGCAGTCGACCAAAGCTGTAATAAACTTATTATATATATGTGTGTGTGTCTTCTATGTGTATATTGTATAAAAAGATTATAATGCAAACTTTGTACATAATTAAGTGATTTTATTAATTACAATTTGAGGGACCTGTCTGACAACCCATACAGAAGGACCAGATAATTTAATTTGCAAGCCATATATTTAATCCTGTAACTTTCCAAAGCATCATGAAACCTGTACATGCAGGGGATGGGGATGGGGAATGGGGGGGGGGATACTGTTGTACTCGGGAGACTATGATGAACACAAATATGAGTGTATCAAAATAGTAAAACGTATCACAATGATGTCATCAGTGAAAGTGCTTTTTATGTGTGAAAGATGCAAAAAACAAATATGAAAGCTACCTTTGGCCAGGGTTTGTGACTAAGTGACTACTAAAAAAGACTGGACATGCCCCAGTTTGAATACCCTGTGTTGTCTATTTTTGCAAATGGTATGCCATGATGGGGGTAATTCTCGTCTATGGGCTCCCTTACAGTCTCAAAGGCAACATAACCAATCTGGCAAATTCCAATGTGTAAAAACTGAAAAGGGAAAAGCCTTATATTTGACCTGTAAGTTTCCAAACCCCCATGAAGTTCTTACATGGGGGGGGGGGGTACTATTGTACTTGTGAGACATTGCTAAACACAAATATGTGTATTTTATTGCAGTAAAAGCTAACAGTATAATGATATTCACAGTTAAAACGGCATGTAGAACTAAAGAAAATATATAACCTTTCTTAAATTTTCACACTAAGATTCAAATTTTATTCAAATAAAATCATGTTTCATATATAAATCTTTGATCTGAAATGAAATCCATGTTTCTCCTGAAAAAAATGATATATTATAAGTGTGGGCGCACTTAAAGAGACACTATAGTCACCAGAACAACTACAGCTTATTGTATTTGTTCTGGTGAGTATAATCAGTCCCTTCAGGCTTTTTGCGGTAAACACTGTCTTTTCAGAGAAAATGCAGTGTTTACATTACAGCCTAGGGATACCTCCAATGGCCACTCTTCAAATGGCTACTAGAGGTGCTTCCTGGGGCAATGTTATACAGTATACAGACATTCTGTGTATCAACCCTCTACACGGAGTCACTGACCTTTCTTCATAGATAGGCATTAATTCAATGCATCTCTATGAGGAGATGCTGATTTGCCAGGGTTGTGTTTGGCTTGTGCTGGCTCAAAGCATTTTGATTGGCTCAGATCGTCACTTCTGATGAAGTCAGCCAAGCAGGCAGATCAGGGGCAGAGCTAGCAGCAGCAGACTGTAATAAAGGTAAGATTTTACTTTATTGGATGGGGGGATGGGGGGGGGGTAGATGATGTAATTAACACTACAGGTCAGGAATACATGATTGTGTTCTTAACCCTATAGTCTTAGTTTAATATGAAAGATGTGAAGTATAGTTGAACAGACATCAAGTCAAATTCCATGTTTTGTTTTGATTTTGTTTTCATCAGAACTATTTGAATAAAGCTGTTTTTAAGAAAGCTGTTTATTATAGATTTTTATAATCATTGATATTTTTTATATACAGTATATCATATAATTACCATAGATCATATTCAAGTTTTTTAATATGAGTTATTAGATACATGCACAAGCACATTATATGCCCTCTTTTCAAGCCTATATATATATATATATATATATATATATATATATATCCACTCCTGCTTTCTTCTACGATTTTTATTGTACACCCTGTATAAAATATGTTTCATTTTTTTTATTCCCCCTTTTCTACTATTTTGTATAATGTATTAAGTATATGCGATGGTGAGGTTCCTATCGCTTATTAGATCTGGGTATGGCAGCTGATACTTCCCAAACCAGAGTCTCTTCTATCTGGCAGTAATTAGGTATAGGTCAGGAAAGGGCACAGGTAAGCAGCGCCTTCTGGGTGTCCTTAAACTCATATGGTGGTTAGTCAGTATGGAAAATATGAAGACAGAAAACAGAATATAGTGTAGTATATTCTATAGGTGATGAGGTAAACTAAGAAAAATACCACTTACAATTTTCTCAAGCTTATGTTCAGCTCCAGATATATGCGCCTGGGCGGTATGATCACCGCCTGTGGATACGTCGCTCAGTTTGGTTCCTTGTAGATGGTAGGTCAGGGTCAAGCGTCAGTTAGAGTGTCGAGTGTTCACCGGTATTTACCTCCAAATTGCAGTGTCACAGATATTCACCAAATACATAAAATGAGAATAAAACAGAAAAATAGTGCTCTCTGTTTTGTTGTTATAAAAGCAAACTAAAAGGAGGTATACTTCAAAAGGAGAGCAAAAAAAATGTTTTTTGCTCAATCCTGTGTAGCGTAGGTGGTTTCCTCCCCCCCAAGGAGGTAGAAAGTGTGGCTCCTCTGGATAAAATCTTCAGGGATAAAATCAGGAAGGTCCAGGCAAGGTAAAAACCGAGTTTAATTTAAAACAAAGATAATAAATCCAAGAACATAAAAACACACGCGTTTTACCAAAAGGGGCTTTATCAAAGTGTTACAGTACATGAGGACCTGTCCTGTTTAAATAGCCTCCACAATTAAGAATGAGAGAGTCAGGTGATGTCACAGGTCATGTGACTTACAGGTAGTTAGCTACAAACAATTTTACAATTTTAAAATACAACGTACTATAAAGCAGTGAATGAGATTATGACATTGCAAGTGTGCAGTTAGAAAATTACTCAAAAAATGTTTTTATAATTCTTTATTTTTCCGTGCATGGGTTAATACAACAAACAGTCATGCTCTGCCCCAACAGTAGTAGTATACTTTAAAGTCAACAATGTTGAACAGTTGTGGCAAAATTATCAAATGCACATTTTTGTGTTAAGGGTAGCAAGAGAGAGTACATTGAGTCAGTGGTGTGAGAGCGCAACAAACGGTAAACATTCAAGCTAGACCAGCTGTCTATGTGAGTGATATTATCTATTCTGTAGCAATACATTGAGTGGTATTTATGTAGGTACATCGCTTGTATATAGTGTGTGTGACAGGCTATGCATCTTTAGTTAGTTGTACTAGAGATTCCAGGCTACATAATTTATACATCTTACATTCAACATTGCACTCTCGTTTAAACAGTGTTAGTCGGGCCCCAGCAATCTAGCCATAACTTGCAGTACCATGTTATATGTAAGGGGTAGTCAAAAGTAGCTAGGCGTGTTATTAGAGCTCATATGTTAAGCGTAAGATGGCAGACATAGGCTGGAGATTACTGATGTGTTGGCAAAATGATAAGCTAATAAACTAATGCAATATTATAAAGTTCCCTAAGGTCCCCCAGGTTTAAGTCCTTCTCTGGACAGGTTGGCAGGTCATTGATCATGGTTCCGGTGTCGTGTTGTGGTGTAGGTCTCCCGGTCATGGAGCCAGATGTGCAAAGTGCTTTGGCGGTTCATCCAATGCCTCGTTGGGGCCTTGTGGGGACCTGCCATGGATGACGTGCGGTCGTGTTTCAGTGCGGTGGGTCTGCGGGCGTGGTAGGAGTCGTTGGGGTAGGACGTTTAACTGGAGTAGGGATACCCATAGAATAGAGGGTGCCCTAGGCATAACAGGGCCTGATGCAGGCGGTATTCTCAGTTTCCCTGTTCTGCGCAGGTGAGATGCCTGTTTGATTCTCCGCCGCCGTCCCGCAATTTTGGGCTTCACCAAAGCTGCTGGTTGTTGCAGTGGGTCGGGCAGCGGATGGCAAGGTGGGCAGTTTGAGGTGGGTGTCTGCTGTCGATTGGGCTGTGTTTGCCATTGAAACAGGCGTTGTGTGGGATGCTTCCCCCGATGTGGAGCCGCAGGTTTTCGTGGTGCGCTCTGGTGTAAGGGAGCATTTAGCTGTATAGCGGTAGGCATACCCATCACGCTTTCCAGTCTCCACCAGAACTCAAGGAATCGATTGTCCAGCCGGATGAGTATGTCTTCTAGTGTGGTGGTAGGTGCTGGGAGCCATGTGGCATCGGCCATCTTGGCATTGCCGCCGCTGGGTGCACCCGTAGCCGGGGGCTTGACTGCTGGGGTTGCGCTGTCCTCTGGGGGGGGGGACTGGGATCTCCCCCACCGGTCCGGGGGGGGGGCTGCTTCGGGGCCCAGGTTCATGCTTATCTTCAGCCCGGATTTCTCTAAGCATGGGATCGGCCGCTTCCCCAGTCTGGTGCCCACCAGGCCACTTTTCCCACGGATGTAGCAGGACAGGTGCCTCGAGTCACCAGCCGCCTTCCCGCTTTGTAGGTAAGGCAGGTAGCTTGGGTGTCGAGTAGGGTAGCTCAGATCGAGTATTAGTTGGCTGTAAAGTACCTTTTTGGGCATATTGATGGAGGAGCTCAGAAAATTACTACATTTTAAAGTAAAATAAAAAATAAAAAAAATTGGAGAAAAAAAAGGGGGTAGTGTGTTTATAAAGGTACACCAATATGGCCGCCGAAGCAGGACTATAGGGTAAACCAATATGGCTACCGCCAGTCAAAAGACAATGGTCGACTATTGTTCCCCTCCAATTTCATTTCTTTTTAAATGTATTTTAGTGTAAAATGTATTAATTTTCAACTGCACACTTGCAATGTCATAATCTCCTTCACTGCTTTATAGTATCTTGTATTTTAAAATTGTAAAATTGTTTGTAGCTGACTCCCTGTAAGTCACATGACCTGTGACATCACCTGACCCTCTCATTCTTAAACCTTAGAAAAAATTAAATAAGTGTATAAGGCGCTTTAATCAATATGTGAATAAACTACAAAAGAAAACTGGTATATAAAAAAATATTTCCACAACACTCTGAAAAATATAAGAAAAATAAAGAATATATATAAAGAAATATAAAAAAAACCATTCTATACAATCTTTTGGGTTCAAGTATACATGGATACAACATAAATATCTGTATATAAGGCCCAAGGGTGCCAATACTGGGCCATCTACAGGATCCACTTGTAAAGTCGAATACAGGACATCAAACATTACACAAAAAGGTATATTTATTGTAAATCCAGAAGTAAAAAGAAAAGCATATATATATATATATATATATATATATATATATAAAAAAAATCAGGATAAAGATACACTGGGTATGCTAAAGAATGGCAGTGGGAAAATATCTATGAATAAAAATACCACCAAAAGTAACCCATGATCAATTATCCGATCAAAAGAGACATAAAACAATACGTAAAGTAAACAGCAAACACATTTCGGCATAAAACTTTCTTCCAGTGCTGATCTGTTGTCCTTCAGGGTCCAATATATCCCCAGTCAATCATAGACAATGTGTGTACAATTTCCGACTTTTCGGCTGGTCCGTAACGTCATATCCAATCGCCCATGACATCACATCCGGCTTGCATCACTGACATCGTATCCTCCGCAGATCTTATCAGGATGTTCTTCTGGAAAGCGTCGTTGTCTAAGTCCTTTACGTGTCTCTGAATTTGGCAACTCCCAGTGATTATAGCAGTGATTATAGCTCTTTTTCAGTGTTTCTTTCTCTGGCTCTGCCTCTTCTCCCCAGCCACTCTCTGTTGGTGTTCCCCAAGGGTCTGTCCTTGGTCCCCTACTGTTCTCCATCTATACTGCTTCTCTTGGTAAACTCATCAGCTCCTTTGGCTTCCATTGTCATTTATTTGCAGATGACACGCAAATCTTCCTGTCCTCTCCTGATCTCTCTCTGCCCATCTTGACTCGTGTCTCTGACTGTCTCTCTGCGATTTCCAACTGGATGGCTGCTCACTTCCTTAAACTCAACCTGTCCAAAACAAAACTTCTGGTCTTTCCTCCCTCAAGTATTGCTACAATGTCTGTCTCCCTCCAAGTCAACAGTGCCACCATCACCTCTACCTCGCAGATTCGCTGCCTAAGTATTCTCTTTGTCTCCGACCTCTCCTTCACCCCTCATGTCCAATCGATCACCAAATCCTGCAGCTTCCATCTCAAAAACATAGCTTGCATCCTCACCAAAACAATCAAATATTCTGCACCATTTTTTCACTCTTTTTATCACTTGTTAACAAAACATGTGGATAGAATACAAAAGTCTGTGTTCTCTATTAGATCAATATGCCAATCTAATATAATTTAAACAACCTGAAATATATATGTTTTTTGAACACAACGAATGCCCTTTGCAAAATTCCCACCCCAGCAAGTGGAACCCCTGCCATGCACCCCTGGGTCCATTAAATAACCTAAACCTAAGCCTAACTCTAACTATAACCTTAAACATCATCTATATCCTATATGACTATATCCTAACCTTAAACAGTTAGTGATAATCATAACCCTAAACACTAGCACTAAGTAACCATAATCACTAACAGAGGCTAACCCCATATACTAACCCTAATCTTATAGATAGCATCAGAGGGATTGCCTTGCTGCTATCAGCTGAGGGATTCACTTGCAGCCCAGAGATATCTCTGAGCGTTTGCCGTATGAGAGGGATTATTTCACATTATAACAAATGGTTCTTTAGTTCTGATCATGCTGAAGGGACCCCTGCGACCATGGCTGTGCACCGGCTTGGGGCCCATGGTTGCAGAGTGACTAACAGGAGGGGAGCGATGTGTTGTTCTGCGCCCCACCTGCCGGTCTCTGTGTGTAGCGTGGTCGAGCACCACGGTCCGCTTGGCCACGCTACACAGAGTCAGAAGGTACAGGAATGGGAGGGGTGAGAGAGGGAATGAGACAAATGGGAGGCTGGGGGTGAAAGGAAATGAGACAAACGGAGATGCTGGGGGTGAAAGGGAATGAGACAAATGAGGGGCAAGAGGGAATGAGTCAAATGGGAGGCTGGGGGTGAAAGGAAATGAGACAAACGGAGATGCTGGGGGTGAAAGGGAATGAGACAAACAGAGACGCTGGGAGTGAGAGTGAATGAGACAAATGGGGGGCAAGAGGGAATGAGTCAAATGGGGGGGGTTAAAGAGGGAATAAGACAAATGGAGGCGCAGGGGGAGAGGAATTGAGACACAGTGAGTGGCTGGAGGGAATGTTTGCACCTGAGCCCGGTGGTTTCTAGTTACACCTCTGTCTAGAGGTACTTGACATTTAATTCGACCCTGTGTGATCCCAGCTGACAGCAGAAAAGAGCTGACAGAACGTAGCCTCAGGTATGCCTGCTGATATCTCCCTGCTGTTCTGAATATGTTCCACAATATTCTGTTTCACAATATTCTATGACAGATTTTCGCTACTGTAAGTGCAAAATGAATCAGGCTCCCGCAAATACCTTTTCCACTTATTGATCTTCCTCACGGTTGGAGGGTTTTGTGTGTGACATGGTATACATGGGTCATAGCTACACAAAGTAACTGATACTTGACCACCAGGATTTGAAACAATGTATTATATTGTCCTATATACTTTACTTTTAGTACTCATAGCGTATACGACTAAACATATGTTGCATTTGCATGAATTTTACCACATGACAGGAGGCTTCATATTTGCATATCTTTCTTTACTCAAAACTCCAGCAGCATAGTAACATAAACAACCAATCAGAAAAAAGATATAATGCCCATAAAAGGCCCTGTCTATGACATCACTTCCTCTTTCTTTGCTGCTCCAGCCAACATCAGGTCAGAGTATTTTGCCTCCCTGGCAATTGCTTACATATATTGTTTGTTTCTCTGTATTTTGGATTGTATTGTTCTATTTACCTAAGTTAATTTATTTACCTAAGTTAATTTATTTATTTAGCTAATTTATTTATTTCATTTACTTATTTCATTTAATTAATTTATTTATTTAGTTTTTATTTTCGCTGTTCCCTTCTCCCTGTCCCTGCAGTTTTCTTTTTGGGCCCCTATTGCTTTTCACTGCCGGTACCCACGAGCAACGGCTGTCAGTGCCGCGCGCCGCGGGCCGGCTAACGTTTTCCTTTTGTGGGGCCGGCAAGGGGACGGGTGGAGGGGGACTGGGAACTATGTTCCCTCGTCGTTCCGGCGCCGCGCGGTCGATCGCGGCGCTACTTCACACGCGGGTGGCGGCCATCTTGGATCTCGCGGCTCGCGAGATACCGGACGGCCGCCTTCCCCGCTTGCCCGGCGGATCGGCAACTCACCCGACCGCCGGGCTCCACATCTGTATACCCTCCCTAGTATGTACTAAGGGAGGGTATTAGGTTACAGTGGATTTTTGCCTTTCAATATATATATTTGCCCAGTGCCTGCCTGCTGTGCTGCCTATCTATTATAAATGCATGCATTAAAGAGACAAGCATTCCCCCCTTTTTTGCCAGCTTCAGACCTTTATGTCTCTATGCCCTGCTTAGGGTCATATCAGCTACTATACCCCAATTAGGGTTATACTATACATGGTTATAATCTCCTCAGGATCAGACGGCATACTGGCAAAAAATTATATACAATTATTATTTTTTATTCTCATGAGCAGGCACACAATCTATGTATTATTGTGAAGCCATACAATATCACAGTCGTTATACAAAACATATACTGTACCTATATCAAGATCAACTACATCACTGTACTCTACGAAGGGCATATTATGTTACTGTACCCTACAAAGGGCATATTATATTATATTATTGTACCCTACAGAGGGTCATATTATATTACTGTACCTGACGGTGCAAATTTATGTGGGTGTCCTCTGGGTATTTTTTCATGGCACACCACCTGGGGTGACCCCCCAGATATGCATGCAAGGTCACTGACAGACCATTACCTTTGATGTGGGTGTCCTCTGGGTATTTTTTCATGGCACACCACCTGGGGTGACCCCCCAGATATGCATGCAAGGTCACTGACAGACCATTACCTTTGATGTGGGTGTCCTCTGGGTTACCATGGCACACCACCCGGGGTGAACCCCGATCATATGCATGGAGGCCTACGCCTCAACTTTACCACTGATCACTACAGACATATATGGATGTTTAACCCTTAACTATGGATGTTTAACTTTTGGAATAAAAGGGAATCATGACATGTCACACATCTCATGTGTCTTTAAGGGGTTAAACACTGCCTGTCAGTTTTACATTAAAGCAACAGTACCATGCCGGATGCGATTTGACGGCAGGATCACTAAGAAAATTGAGTGTATTGCGGTGTACCCTTCACAGGGATACATATATGTATATTTTCTGTGCCTAGTGTACATATGGAACGTGGGTGTCCTCTGGGTAATTTTTCATGGCACACCACCTGGGATGACTCCCAGATATGCATGCAATGCTTGTAAGGTGCCAATAAGTATAATATGGGTGTCCTCTGGGTTACCATGGCACACCACCTGGGATGAACCCAGCCTAATAGACATGGGTCCTGCGGCTGCAGACCTTA